TAGTTCAATTAAAATAGAAAAATATATTGCGGTTATAATAGATAATTTCATGCAACTATTTTACCAGATTTATTACTTACAGAAAAAGACGTCATTGGAAGTTGATGTATAACGAGTGTGGCCTACATGGCTAAAATGATTAATTTTACAAGATTTTATTTATTCATTTTTATTACGAAATATAATACAACACATTATTCTACTGTAATTATTGATAAATTATAGAATGCCAAACAAAGAGGTGGTAATTTGTGTGCCAAATTATAATCTGTAATAACATTCAAGGAAGTAATAATATCATAAAGCTGTATGTATTTTGAAGTTTTACTGCCAAAATCAAACAAGTCGACCTCAACTTAAAATTGATACATATTATAAGATTAATAACCGTGACGGGCTCATTTTGTCCAAGTTGGTTCCAGATTTGTGGAGTCGTCGTGAAGTCTGGCGTGTATATACACGCGAATGTTCACTTTATACGAAGTGAAGCAAAAACAACTACTTCTAATTAAATTTTCTGTTCTGGTGGGTTCTTCTAGTTGAACATAGGATGAGCTTTAAATGGCTTTGAAATGAATTTATTTTTAAGAAAACCTACTTGGTTTTTTTTATTTAGGTGGGTCATTATCCGCTAAGATGTTATATTACATAGATGTTATATACGTTATATTTAAAATAAGTGACATAATATGCACACATTTTACAAATAAATTGTTAAGGTTCCAACAATCGAGTTCCAATGCCGAGATGCGCGTCACCAACCACCGCCTCAGAACTTTTCTCATGTCACGCGTTTCATACCGCAGAATATTAATTGTTTCATAAATAAGATACTTGTGTCTCAAGGATATGACGTCAAGGATCCGTTTAGCGACAAATCGATTTAGTAACATAGCAGGTACGATACACCCGAAGCGTGAAATATTAAATTTTAATGTATGACGATACACTGTGACACTTGCTATATTAAGTGGAGCTTCACACTGTAACGGCTATAAACAGACTACGTCAGGCACATTACGCTTTAGCTCTCTGGGGGTAAGTGGATTGTTATAGTCGCTATGCCATTTCGTTGCGTTATTACATTGCTCGGAACCTAGACTACATAGTGAAATTACATTAATGTTAGTTACGGGAAGGTGATTTTTTGTGTTAAGTTAATATTAGTGTCTTCAATTATTTTCTGTGGTGGTGAGCGTTCAAATTTTTTTTTTGCCTAAGTGGGCGGTGAGAAAAAAGTTTGGGAACCTATGATATAAGGGGTTCGAATGCGAATAGAAAAACATAATGCGAATAGATAGAAGCGTAGTTGTAGAACCATTCTGTAAGTCAGTGAGGCGGCGGCAGAGGGAACGGCGTGGACACATTTTCTGCGTACCCACGGAAGTATTTATTTGATCTGTTTGCATACCCTATTTTGTAAATCAGAGTTGCTCAGCGGGAGTGACTTTTTAAAAACAATTAAGTGACGGCATTTAAAAAACAATTAAGGTGTCTCAATATGTCTAAAGTCTACAGTTTCCAAAATGGAAGCGCGTTAGTTGTGACAAGGAAGGCAATATAGGTGTCACAATTACGTATCTCTCTTAGGAGTACCTACTTGTTATAAAAAAAATATACTTAAGCCGGATATTCATTAGCGAGCTGAAACTGTAACATGACAGATGCAATAACGAGTTTTTAGTGTGTACGCGTGAAGCAGTCTTCACTCGCTATAATGAGTACCTGGTTATCGTCGGCTCACTGCGAATCGCACGCGTTTCGCTTGCGGCAAGCTCGAGAACCACGTACAGTCACGTACACTTTATACGGACAACGGCACACCAGACTACACATTTTTGTTCGAAAATCGCCTCCCCAGTGCAACGGAACAAGATACGTCAATTTGTAGCTTGATGTGCTGGCGTGTGTACTTTGGACCGTTCTTATCGCAAGCGATATAGAGTTGGTGTCATAAGTGTAAAGTTTGACGTGCTCTTGACACTGTAGGTACGTACACATTATGTTTTTGGTAATATAACATGCAACGATGACGGTTAAAGTTTGCTCGTGACTACCCGGCTTTACGCAGTTACGCGTTGATGTATATTTTCAGGAAGATTAGTAATGGGAACGGTGTGTTTAGGTCGGGAGGGAATAGGTTACTAATCTCTTCGAACGAGGCACTTCGTATAATTATGATAGAACTTCGCTTTAGGCAAGTACATTTAATCATTAATTATACTCGCGCCTCGTCCTCGAGATTAATAACTGAAGATTACATAGCACTTGTAGACTTTGAGAGTACTACATGGACATTACTGAAATAACATCAATATGATAACGGATAAATAATTACAACATAATTAGTTTGCATTAATTTTGTTCTGGAATATACATTATATATTATTTTTTATTTAATTAATATTAAATGACCACAAAAAGGAAAAAATATAAATACAGTTCATTTAATAAATGTCACACATTTAATGTCTTTAGAATATAGATTATAATTAAGCGAAACCTGATTCATTATTCATTATGATGATTAGGACAGTTAGAACCGCAATAGAATATAATCATAGAAAAAATAGTCTAGTCATCTGTTGACTTTCAAGGCTTTATGATAACAATAACTAGCTAATAGCAATCAGGGTAAGCTAAATTAATTCAGATTAAATTCTGATAAAGGCAAAGAAGCCCTTTTTATTATTTACGTTAAATCTCTGATAGAACTTTGTGAAAGTGTTAAAAGGTCAATCCAGGCAGTCAAAGGTATTGCGGATCGCGTTGATACCTACCCCATGAGAGCGTCTACGCCAGATATGTTCAGAGTGCGTCGACTAGGCACTGTAGCGTCGATGCCGAGTGTACGCTTTGTTCAAAGGCTGAGCGTTTATATGGCTACAAGTTTATGTGGTTGCTTAAGGCTGACAAACAGACTATCAAATTTTCTTAAGAGCACAGTTATATTTAAACAGCATAATAGGATTTCAACTCCTAGTATTATTGACGGATTTTCCGTGATAAAGGATTTATATAAAATATGGTCCGCTTAGTAATTTTTTACATATATGGATTTTTTATAATGTACGTGTTATGTACCTGTGTCATAATGATCATCGCTAATGGGCCGCGGCCTTAATTATCATCGCAACAAGGGAGCGACACGAGGTACGACGCTGCGGAACGTGCGCTGCATGACACTCAACGACGAAATGCATTTTTAGTTTTTACTTCACCTTTCGTTCTAACGTTGACTACTAGACTATTTACCTATTTAGTTTGATTTTTTTTGTTTATTTGCCTTCTCTGAGTATACGTACATACGTAAATAACGACTATTATACAATTATGTAATTGTTATTTACGCCCTAGTATATTGCATATTTTAACACACATTTTTGAAGCTGTTTGAATTTTTGCGCGGTACTTAATGAGGTGCACGACTGGAGCCTCGTACCATTCCCTTCTGGTCTGCGCACCATGGCAAATCCTTTCGCCACGAGAATTTTAACATAAAAAGGAATCATCGAAATCGGTTCACAAGTCGATTAAAAAAAGTCGGTAATGAAAGCTAATAAGATAACTTATTCGAGAGTAGTTCTAAGAAGATTTCATTATTTGGCTACCATTCAGTTACGCAATCTAATACACAATTGGTATTCCCGGTAACGTTATACATATGGGTTGCGGTGGTTGCAAAACAAATACCTGCTGATGTTAAAAATTCCTTACTTTTCTGGTCATAGTTATGTTAAAAAGTATAACATAGTTGGTACGGACAGCCGTGCAGTAAATTTTAATAGAGTTGTTCCACCATTTTCTAAGACGGGCATTGTACTGTTTTATAGACATTGGTGACAGGGAGCCAGCATGAAATTTGACGGAGATGTGGGTAAGCTTGTTTTTTTTTATAGCACGACTCGCACAATATAACCAGAATAATTATGCTTCGTGTCGGGGAGGCAACGTAATTATTTTGTGTGTAGAATTCTAAAGTTTTTCAAAAGAAAAGAGCTTTACATAAACATGAGATATCATGGTTGTGTAAGCAGTAAGGGCAGAATCATACGCCCTCGTGCTTCAAATGAAATGTTAATTCTATGTCACATCAGAAATGTTATTTCTATGACACATCAGAATTGCTAAAAATAGAGGTTTGAATACAGGACAGTAAAAGAATCTAAGGCCTTATTCAGAGAGGCGGTGGACGCGGGTGCATGTAAATCTAATGAACGTAGACACCCGTTGCTTTCACAGTGGCCGCGTGGGCCTGTGTCGAGAAGGGTGCGGGCGCGAGTGTGCTCACGCCGCACGTGTAGATCTACTGGCTCGGTCCGCCTGTACCTTTCACAGTGCTTGGTTTGGCGTCTGTTTGCGATTTCGATGTGTGGATCTACCCGCTCCGCTCGTAGCCGATTTGGCATTGTGATAGGGAAGACGCCAAGACTCGCGCGCCCACGCCTGCACTCGGAATGAGGGCTTTTCCCTAAGGCGAAGCATGGTGATGGGTCTTTGTGCCTTGAAATGTATTTTGAGCATTTTTTATTTATGCAACTAGCTAAAAGGTGCAACATCTCCTGATAGTTGAAAGTGTGCTTTACTGTGCTAATTTATGTCAGGATGACACTTCTTTGACTCGAGATCTGTAATTGTATTGTCATAGGACTTGATATAAAAAGTAAATAAGAACAATTTTGTTTTTTCACACTATTTTGGTAAGCTGAGGTTATTTAATGACACCTATTTATTAATAGGCAGTAGGGTACTGCCTTCGAGTTATCTACCCAGAAGAGTACCAATTAGGTCATGTGCATAGATTTGAAAATTGTAATATATCATTTCCGCTCCGTGTGAGATCATTCGTGTTATGTCGATTGCAGCAGTATTACCGTCACACGCTCCGCCCTAACCCGTAACGTTAGAATAAACGGTGTCGTGAAAGTAATGATTCAATCTAATTGGGTTTTTGTGAAGGATTATTTATACCTCGATACAAATACAAAAAAATATCTTACCGGCGACATCGGAGAGCGTGGCATTGGGTGCACACTTGACGAAATCGGGGAAGAAATTCACCATGATAAGACCGCCGTTCTCTTTCTGGAACAAAATACTAATTGCCACAGAAGTACTATGTGATCTAACCTACAGTCACAAGTTTTTAACTTTTTTGCAACATTTGTATGAAAATGACAGCTTTCGTCACCTCCTGTACGTGAAGAAAAAATTAAATATATTTAGATATTTATTGTTTGATCCAACAAAAATATGGTTTATAAATGTGAAGTTTTTATATTGGGGCAACCCACAGTCAACTAGTCTTTGACGTATAGAAATGTTAGTGTATTTTTTTACAAATTATATGTAGGTATAAAGTAAAATGGTTCCTGCCATATTATCTTGGTGAAAAAAGAAGGGTTCGTTTCAAAATAATTTTCATAGATTTAATAACAGTTTTAACTAATGGGAAATGAATTATTGCTTCAAGTTGTGAGAGTGTTCTTATATTCTTAGGCCCTTAAACAAATCTGACACCGGTCGAACCGATGACCAATGATACAAATTCTGTGAGATCACGTTGGCATTCTACAAATTGTTCATACAAGTCAAATTACAAACAAGTACAAATTGTTCATCCATTAGGAGGTCGGGTCTGAACAATTGCATTGCGTCTGACGACGAGTTGTAGCTGCTTGTACTGCTACATTGAGCACTCGGTTCTGGAGGCTAGCGGGATACGAAGCACGGTGCACCGCTGGCCGACAGTGGAAAGTTGGGGGCCCAAGTAGTGGGAAAGCCACCCGTGAAAGGCTGCCCCGCCACCCAACGAAAAATCCCGGAATGCTCCACCTTGCCGGTTGGCGACCGGAAGGGAGAACCAGGTGACCATCTGCAGGGGGTTCGGGCATCCCCGCGGTTTCCAAGCCGATTGTACTCTCGTGTGGCAGTGTGAGCATGCTGTTTAGTTGAACACGACGCAGTGCCTCCTTCAACTGCCTTCCTCCTGCCTTTTCACTTCTCAAAACAACATGACAAGTCATAAGAAAGGAAAAAACTTTACCCAGCGGTTGCGCCCTCCCACTAAAATAACATCCGAGGTCTGCACTCAAATCTTGATTCGGTCCACTACCACCTTGAAACAGACAAACCGCAGATGCTGTTCTTCACAGAGACGCAGATCAGATGTCCCACTGACGCAGCGTACCTCAGCTACCCCGGGTATATTCTGGAGCACAGGTTCGTACCTCGTGCAGGAGTCTGTGTGTGTGTAAAGCGTCTCAAGAACCTTGAGGCACCGAGTTTTTCTGTTTTATGGCTTCTGGTAGACACAGGAGTTACACAAATAGTGTACTGTTGTGTCTACCACTCGCATAGTGGAGATCAAGAGACGACCAAGCTGGTCCAATGTCTGAGCGAGACGTCTGATGAGGTTCAACTCAGGTAGCCAGCGGCGCAACTAGTCATAATGGGGGACTTTAATGCTCACCATCAAGAATGGTTGTTGCTCATACCAGATGACCGATCACGCTGGGAGAGAGACGCGTAAACTTGCGTTAACGCTAAGCCGTTCTCAGCTCCTCAGTATCGCCACCAGGATCCCAGGTGTTGAGTCTCATACGGCTAATTGCTTGGACCTTCTGTTAATAACTGATCCAGATCGCTACTCTGTGGTTGTGGAGGCCCCACTGGGTACTTCCGACCATTGTCTGGTGAAAACTGTATCCGTTTACCCCCTACCCGATCAGGGCCCTAGTGGTATGAGACGGGTGTGGCGATACAAGTTAGCAGATTGAGACGAAATGCGCCATTTCTTTGCGTCATACCCCTGACAGGCGTGCTTTACTTCAGGAGACTCGTCCAGCTGTGTTGATGTTGTAGTCGAGGTTTTGCGTTTGGGTATGGAGTATTACATACCATACTCTGATGTACCCAATGGACCCCAAGTTCGTCCATGATTTAACGCTGATTGTAGTTGTGCTGAAGCACGTAAACAGTCCGCGTACCAAGCTTGGGCAGATGATCGACTACGCAAAGCTTCGAGCACTCAAAAGTGTGTTACGCAGGGCCAAGTTCGACCATGTGTGCCGCATTGGGGCCATGCTTGGCTCTTATCCAGCAGGCAGCAAATCCTTTTGGTCCCTGACCAAAGCGGTCAATCAAACTATTGTCGCCCATCTCTACTACCTCTGCTGAGGACGGATGGCTCGCTGGCTCATACAGTGGAAGAGAAGGCGAATCTTTTTGCCTCACTCTTTGCAGAGAGTTCGCGTCTGGATGTCGCAGAGAACCTACCACCTACTTTACCTCAGGCTGGCTGTACTATGGTGCCAGTTCGCATACGCCAAAAAGAGGTACTTAGAACTCTGCGAAATCTAGACGTGAATAAAGCTAGCGGGCCAAATGGGATTCAGAGTCCATGGTTAAACGTTTGGATTTCACACTTTGACCCATCGTCAACGATTTCGTGATATATCCATACCGATAGCCGAGGAACCTTATAAGTTCAAGTTCTGACCCCAGATCAACCAGTGTACAGGTTTATCACAGACCTCTGTCACTTGACTTCATCCAGTTCTCTAGAAGCCAGTGCCACGGGTGGGCAGCCCCGGGTGAACGTACAGTACTTTCCAGTACTTATTCATAAAATAGTAGTATAGTAGGCCAGATGGAATTCCAGTGTGGAAGTCCTGCGTAACTGTGCGCCTGAATTGTCTCCTGTTCTCACACGCCTGTACCGGCTCTCACTTGAGACTGGTGGTAGTTCCCAGGTCGTGGAAGCTTGCAAACGTGCAACCTGTGTCGAAAAAGGGAAGCAGAGCTGACCCTGTCAACTATAGACCCATCTCAGTCACTTCCATACTCTGCAAGACAATGGAACGCGTACTCAACAACCGTCTCTTGTCGTACCTTGAAGAAAACGACATCCTCAGTGATCGCCAGTACGGATTTCGACGAGGGCGATCTACTGGGGATCTTCTTGTGCCTGTCATATATGGAGCGAGGCTATAGAAAAGCAAGGCGAAGCACTTGTAGTACCATTGGACATTTTGGACAAGCCTTTTAAGTAAACTTCCCTCTTATGGGCTTCCCACTGACCTTTGCAATTGGATTTCGGATTTCTTGAGTGAACGTTCGATTTGAGTGGTCTTAGAAGGCTACACTTTCGAACATATGGCGATAGCTGCCGGAGTTCCTCAGGGTTCCGTTTCTGCTGCATATCAATGATATGTTAATTCCAGGTATTCCTTTACGTATGCTGATGACAGCACAGTTGTAGATAGGTACTTGATCAATACAAGGGTCAGTGGAGAGGAAATCCAGTCTTGTCGAGAGTCCATGGTTAGCCGTTTGGATTTGACACTCCAGGCAGTCTCCGACTGGAGCGATGCCAATTTTATCAAATTTAACGCTATCAAAACTCAGGCGTGTCTATTCTCCACAAAACGGAGTCCCTTCGAGCTAACTCCGACTTTTCGTGATATATCCATACCGATAGCCGACTGCCTCCAGCTAGATTTAATTCCTTCATCTTTCCAACACCGGGGGCTAGGCGTTGGCTTGGGTTCCACTCCTATGTTGTGGATATTCCAAAGATTCGCACGAAGCGTTACGCTTCCACGATTATATGGCGAACGGCTATGGAGTGGACTGAACGTTATAACTTAAGTTTTTTCAAGGCGAGAGTGAATAGACATTATTTAGGTGTGCATGCTCCATCGTCGGCCTCATCGTCACTTTCTATCAGGTGAGATGGAGGTCAAATGTGCACTTATATTTTATTTAAAAAAAAATACAAGTCGTATTGGCCTTACAACATCATAAGGTACTGCGTGAGCAGAGTTGTGACGGTGTGACCTCCTCGCATCGTCAGCCCACCATTTTGTCGCCTTTCTCTGGTTTTTGGCCACTCGTATTTAAATTTAAATTTTGAATTGTTTCATTCTTTTGCCTCACATTCTGATTTTGTTTCGTTCCATCGTCACTCCCTGCTCGATCGCGACAGTGGATGGAGCTGTTTAAATTCAATCGCGTCTAATTTTGATTCTTTTACTAAGTTATAATTTTTATTTTTCTCTCATACATATAATTTGTGGTTGGTATATGTATACTTAGTAATATATGTTTCATTTGCAAGGGTTGGAGGCTGGTGACTTGTAGCACAGGTGTTGAACCTATAGCAAGCACTAGCTCCTACAATAACTGTTCTAAAATGACTAAGATTGTTTATGTACTTTTTATTTGTTGTTTTATTTTGTGGAGAAATAAAAAGTATTATTATTGTTATTATTGTATTTATTTTAAACTACTATTATTATCATTATAATATAATCTAAATCATGTGTCAACTCTAATAAATGTATAACAGTCTACAAGCCTTATCATGTACCTATGAATACGTATCTGTAATTCAGTATAACTCGGCCCTTTTAGGGGTAAGTGTCTACTTAATATCTTATTCATCAAGTTAGGAAGTGTAGTGTTTTATATTAATGTACCTGATTTTCTATATGTACATTTTTATTGTTACAGCCTTACTTCTTTGTTATCATTTCTTCTTAACACGACTTTAAATAAATTTTTGGACCGGAAGTTTTCTGTTTTACTGCCGTGAACCTGGTCACGGCTTGTTAGGGTTACAACCCTTTCAGAGTAAGCCATCGAAACGCGATTATACTGTGGCATTCTCAAATCTCGCGTTTCTGGGATGTACAGAATACCTGAAAGTCGTAAAGTTAAAACCACCATTGAACTGAACACGTCGACTTCAATAACTCGATTACATTTTCACCGCCATTCAGGCCACGAATGTGATTTAGACTGACGTCAATTAATAGTTTCCTCGATATATATTATTACCTTTATGTACCTTTTGGATTTCACTCTCCACAATTTTCATTTTGACTGCAATTTGAGGAATATGAAAATTGAAAGTTATAGTACACTTACAGTATGTTTTTATAAGTTGTACATATATGTAGCTCTTACATATATAGCTATATATGAAGTTGTTAGGTGCTCACCAAAGCCTGTATGATATCGTCAGGAACGTTTCGCTTATGCGCACAAAGGCTGTACACCGAGGAGTGGCTGAAAATCACAGGCGCACGGGACACCCGGATCGCTGCGCGTGTCGAGTTTTCGCCCACGTGTGACAGGTCCACGATCATGCCCAATCGGTTCATCTCGCGAACCACTTTCTGCCAACAAAAAATAAAGAAATACAGTTGTCAAGAAAATTGAATCTGTGATCGCCAGCAAATCTTTGAAGCCTATTTTGATGTTAATCGTTATATGAACTACGACATCGCTAATTTAATACAGATTTTGTACCGGTATGCTATCTACCACGATAATCCGTGTGTAGGTTTTTTCTTCTACTTATTTCTTTTTCTTGTACATATTGCAAGGCGGGGCACCGAGGAAGGTCAAATTTGTAAACTTTCGCGAGTCGTAAAACTTAGGAAACAAGATTTAACTTAAGATGAGGTAAAGTTTCGTTTCCTTATAATTTAATTCCATTGTCAAATTAATAACAAAAGTCACGCTGAGATTTCGAGAATCTTCTCGAAATTTTAACTGTAGGTCTGCAAATTCCACGATTGTGTTTGGGTTCAGACGATATCATGGCGCAGCGCCATCTATAATTTATGAATTGCTTGGAAACATAACTTCGATTCCTAGGGCGGAGATACCAGCGGAGATGCTGAATAATGACTCTGTCTTAGAAGTTACGAGCTAGGAGTATCAAAGTACAAGCAGCGGCGGATTTTACAATGACAGCGTTTTCAAGGAAAGCTTTAATTGTCATATTTTTCATTATCGCCTTGTTTTATTACAGATAACGGTAGTGAAAAGGACTTCAAATGAAGGAAAGTGGGCAGAGCCAATTTTATGTCCATTTTGTAACAGATTTTCGACGATAATAAAGGCAGCGGATTAGAAGCCGCGACGTTAGTATTTTATTTGCCGTAATATTTTACTTTTTTATTTATGGTATTAATTATTACATTCACTCTATTTCTTTTTCCTTCTATTTTCTTTCACTAGCAAGTAATATTTGATCATGATGGGTTATCGCTTTTAGTTTATAATTCAAGGCGACCCAAAGAAAGGGCCATTGGACCATTTATTGGGCTTTGCGCCAGTTTAATACCATGCTAATGAGATTCAGTACCGCACGACCGATGTCGTCGCCGTCGCTGCGCAAGTCGCGATATTGTGCCAATATTTCACTAGGATACCATTTTGATTCTATAATTATTTCTCATTTAATTTTCATTCTATTACAATAGCTTAGTATTCAATATTTTAATTTATTTATTTCCGTTTGAAATAGCATCGGCCTTATTACACGTTGTTAGTAAGTGTAATTACATGCGCATTCTTAAAATTCAATTACGTGGAAACGTGATGAGAATACAAATTGCAGGTTAATATGCCTGAGTAGGCAAAACCATCGATGGGGGACTGTGAAACTTATTGTGTTATAATATCTCCGTTCTGAAAGAAATGCTTATTTCTTGATGTCATTAGCTGCGGATCATTTGGCGTAGTGTGATATCGATATTATTACACTGTGTAAACGTGGAAATACATCACTGCGAGGTTTCCCTATGGTCTTCTGGGGGCTACCGGGTTAACTGTGACCATTCGCTATAGTTATTCGCAATGTTCAATTTATGAAATAAATACTGCAATATATAATGCTAAAGAAGAACTCACTCACCTCTCCAAATTCGGTGAGACCGTTGGCGACTGGTGCTTCGTTCGAGGAATCAGCCCTATGGACAAGCAAATAAATGACATAACATAGACTGCTGTTATTGTTTTGCTCATTTATTTTTTGATTTGATTGAATAATTTGTAATGTGGTTTGTGACAATGGGATGTTTACGGATTTAAATGATAGAGGCCAATAATTTTCTTAAATAAAATTATATGAAAATTAATTTCATGTTTGTAAATATTTCATTAGTAATGCGTACTATGCATCACCAATACTTGTAGAGATGCTCTATTTTCAAAAAATGACGTAAGAGGTGTTCTTGTAAACAAATTGAGGCGGTGTTTCCCGTTGGTCGGATTGATGGTCAGACTGGTCTGGCCAGTGGGAATATTTTCCCATAGTTCAGATTGATTAGACAGCTGGCGATTCGTCAGGATGATATAGAAAAATGTGTAATCAGGGTCAAAACAGCATTATTTGAAAATAATCAACGAATAGCTGTTTAAATGTTGAAACAGAGAAAGTTTCGTGCGATATTAGAAAAGCTGCGGGAGCACTTTCGCCCGCAAGCCGGATTTATACTTTTTCCAGAAAAGTCGACAACATTCGTTTTTCCTCGAAACCGAATAACTGCCTTTAAGAGAGTAGAGTGGCTTCTATTTTTTTTTTTGGTTCATTAAAAAGGTCGTTTGTTTGCCGAAATCAATGCATTCAGATCGGGATTTATTGTTTGTTTCACGTCTGGAACACTGTAACAAGTTAGTCCTCGGCTATATCCAGGATGAAACAGAAAATAGTCATATTTTATGATCATATTCAGTTACAGGTATGAAACACATTTACGCGGTTATACCAGGTGTAAAAGTTCGTACAGCTAATCACTCAGTAAATTCACCCTGCACTTACATTAGTTTACATTTTCTTAAATAGACAATTTTTTAGACAGGTGTAAATAGATTCACAGGTGTACATATCTAGAGCGTTCAGATGAAAACCTGAGTTGGTAATAAACTGATGTTATTTGCTAAAAATAGTTTTGCGTAATTTGTCAGCATTTCCATTTCGAATGGAATGTTCCTGTGCTTTATTTGTAGCTAACATGTCTATGAATGACTTTTTTATGAATGAACTACTCATAATTTACGTAAGTTGTACGGTTAGCAATAGAGTGTGAAGCAGATGTATCGATTTAGAAAAGAAGTAATTAAATAGTTATAATTTTTTTAGTAACTCATGTTATACTCAGTGCACTACGTATTGGGCTATATTTCGTACGTTCATAAGAAATATAGCCCAATCTGAATCCGATCCAATTTGAGTGCACAAATAGCCCAATAAATGCTACATTATCCCATTATGCAGATATAGGTAAAAACGGGATAATCCTAAAAGCCATAGTAAAACATTATTTCATTATTATAATATACATTATATTTAAATTCGCAGTGCGTTTCGCAAAGAAATTTAATGAAGTGATATCTAGTGCAATAAAACGTTATCTTTGAAAAGCGTGTATCGCTGCTTGTACCGCTTGGAATGTCTGTGGATTGAATGTAGCCTGGAAACTGTAGTAGCCTCCGCAGTCTCCACACATCTTGCTTAGCGAGTTTAAAGTTCAAAAACCAAAAGGATAACGAAATAGTGGTAATAAATCCAGTTTTATATATATTATATTCCCGTTTTATTAATATTTGTGATCTTCAAAATGTTTATCGCGCAAGAAATTTTTGGTAACTGGTAAACGGTTAAAAAAATTAAAGAGAAGACGTGGTCGCTGCCGCGATCGGGCAGGGAGTGACGATGGAACGAAACAAAATCAGAACGCCGAGACAAAGGAATTAAAGTAAGATTCAAAATTTAAAAACGAGTGGCCAAGAACCGGAGAAAAGGCAATACAAAGGTGAGATGACGATGTAAGGAGGCCTTAACGGTAACGAATGTGGCGATTGTGGGTGAAGGAAAATTATGTAAATTGACCGAGTAGCGGAAGAATTGACGTTCTTAGCATGCCGTTTTATGAAATTACTCTTCCCGGAAATGCCTCTGAAAAAAATTTGCGGAAAATCCTCACCCTTGATTCAAATATATGCTCAATAAATAAATGGCATTTAAAAATATTTTACTATTATATTAAAACAGATTTAACTATTCGTTTCGTAAATATTGAAGTAGATTTAAAGAGAAATTGAGGCTATTAGCACAAAAGTGCTGAACACCATGTGTATATTTTATATTTGGATGCTATTTTCATGAACAGAAAATGTAATAAAAAAATATTTTTTATACGTGAATATGAGCACCACTTTTGCGCGGATGGCTTCAATTATGTATGATATTTATGTAAACCCGAGTTCTACAAATGCACCAGCTATTGATATATGTTATATAGTGTTACTATACTGGAATGACAATAATTGCGTACCTGAGAAGCATTACACTGCAACCGCCATTTTTGTAATTTTACAGGAGAAGCGATTTTGTGTCAAAATGCAGCATGCCATATGATGCCATAAAAATAAAACTGATAAATTTTCAATAACAATATGTTATAATATTCAAAGTTTGGTAATTAGAGATCAAAGCTGTTTACATAATGAGATCAATTTCTTACTTTTAGCGATATTTATAACAATAAAACAAAAAACTAGTTCACATACCGTGTCCTGCTTTTAAATAAAAATCAAATAGAAAAAAGTTACCGTAACATGTGACACCTCTTACAAATGAAAAAAAATACATAAAAATGGTTGTATTATTATAATTATATTTTAATTTTTTTAACTAAAGTGGTTACTTTGTCAGTATCAGTCATCCCATCACACAGTCGGTACCTACAACGAGAATTAAAAATACAAAACCATTGTAGGTATCGATCGTGTGATGGAATGACTGATATTACCGACAAAGGTTACATTAGTTAAAAATGTTTTTTGTTTTGTTTTTGTTGTAACAAAATTTATGAAGAAGTTTCTGTTTATGTTAAAAATTACATTTGTATTATTTTTTCATGAAAATAATAAGATAATTCCTGATATTGCGGAGTCACGTACGTGTACTATGTGAAGTGATCTATCCCTTGTGAAGTTTTGGTTCAGGATGCGTCCAGTCAAAATCGTAATCGTTATTGTCTGTAGCTAGTATAAGGATCAGCGGGAATGTCAACGAAATTTTCATTATCAAATTAGTGAGGGCTATTTTGTCAATCTCTGAGAATTTTTTACCAATTCATTGTTTACGATTAGCTGTGCAGACAGCCCCCATATCCTTCTACATACATAAGTTTTGTTTATAGTGACCCTTCATATCAACCTATTGGTTACACGGGAAGGGCACTATAACCTGTGCGAGTAAGCCCGTACAGGGATCTTCTTAGTTAGGTCTTGGCCCCAGATCAGCCCTTTGCACGGACTTCATCCCGTTCTCAAAAGATTAGTGCCTTTGGTGAGCTGCCCCGGATACACGTATAGCACCCTCTGGAAAATAGTCCCTGATAGGCACCGAAAGCTGTAACGAAGCTGTAGCGAAACCGAAGCTGTAGGCATGCTCACTTAGTTGCACAGTGCGCAACAAACGGTTGCCACCGACTACCAAATCTCCTCTTTGGTGGCGGGGCCGTAAGCACGCCCATTTCTCGACGCCAAAGCGTCTCTGCAGTTTCCATATACCTACGTATCTGGAAGGATCGGAGGGTGTCTAGCTTATCCTTCACTAGCTCTCCGGGCTAGTACCGAAGATGCTGGACGTAGTATCTTGCGACAATGTCCGGATATAGTTTCTGACTTAAAGTGCAGCTCACGTGACCCGCGCATCTCTTCGCCTTAAGCCCTCGTCTAGACCGCTACTAAAACGCGATAGCTGCATGCGGGACAAACACCTCCGCCACATGTTACCGGGGCAGATGAACGTGTTCATCTCTGCAGCTAACCACAAAAACCGGCGAGTCCATACCTAAGTCCGGGTCCACCAGAGACGCCCGTGAAGGCGTATCACTGGTGGAGGGCTTGGCCCGGTTGCCCGCCGTACCCTGGTTTTACCGAGGAGCCCGTAGTCTCTCCGGAACTCCCTATCTGTCGAGTCAGAAGATAGAAACAGCACTCGCTGTGCAAACAGACTAACATCACGCAAATGAGAACCTAATTTGTAGCTTTAACATGGAGTTGTGCCGAGTTGATTCATGGCCAATTTGTATTGTTTGTATTGTAGAACCCACTGATGGGATTGGCACAGGTACTTTTTAATATTTAAACGGATTTTTTTGTTTGTTTTTGTTTTTTGTTGAATTTGTGTAAGGGTAGCGAGACTATCGAACTTCAATTCGGGGATTTCGCGGTGTATTCTTTGAACAGGCACCGGCGAATCGTGGTCTATATACTATTATTTGTTTTCGTTGTCTTATAACATTATACTGTGTCTGTACTAAAATTGAGAATAACACTGTAACTCCGAACTTACAATAAAATGCTTCGTAGTGGGTAGCAGTCTTACATCAAAATACTTTTAAAGAACTCAGTACCTATGGCGAATTTCATAGACACAGTTTTATGTGTCGATAAAGCTCGAAAAATTGTGTAGGATACCGTTAAAAATTGAAAATCGCAAAAAATGGAGTTACAGTGTTATGCTTCTCAGGTACGTTTATATTATATTTTTATTTGCTAAAGATTAAAATATTAAGTTAAATTTAATTCTAATTGACTAAACGATATACGCACAGAGAAACCTGTCTGACAATTATGACACTACTCCAAACATGAGACGATGGAAAGAAAATCTCACTAACGTAGCCAACGATTTCCTTACTAAGCGATAAAAGAGACGCCATAACTCAAATGTCTTTGAATTTTCGTTGCGGTCACACCAAACCGGTAAGAGAGCAAAGGGATGACGGTAACGGTACCCTAGCTCCTCTCATTCATTTTCGCTGTTATTCTATTGGATAGTTTTCACGTTTATCAGATCAGTGAAAAGAAAGATAAATATCCTATATAACTGTCTGTTTATTGAAATACAAAATTACGAAATGCACGTCCTTTAAACCCTAAAACTCTAAACCCT